CTGGGTCCCGCAGAGTCCGCGACACTCGAAGCTGGAGAAAGCCGACATCCTGGAGATGACCGTCAAGCACCTGCGGAGCCTCCAGCGAGCCCAGATGACCGGTGAGTCCCGGGGGGGGATGCGGGGAGGGAGGGCTGGGCCGGCCATGCCTGTATCCTGGGGGCTGGGGACATCGTGCTTCCCGCCTGCATCCTCGGTAGTGAGGGTAACGGGGGCACCCGGCTCCCCACCTGCACCCCTGGTACTGGGGGGTGATGGGGGGCTCTGTGCTCTGTACTGCTATCCCTGGTATAGGGGGGCAGTGGGCTCCCCACCTGCATCCCTGATACTGGGGGGTGGAGAGGGGCACTGTGACCTGTACCTGTATCCCCGGTACAGCGGGGGCTCTGGGGGTCACTATGCTCTCTGTCTGCATCCTTGGTACTGGAGGGCACTGGGAGGGCTGCAGCCCTGGCCTGGGTCTGCTCTACCAGCAGAGCTGTGCTCCCCACCTGGATCTGTTTTGTGGGGTGAAAGGCACGGGAGCCGTTGGGGGGACTGTGTTCCCAAACTGGATCTGCAGTACTTAGGGGCATGGGAGGACTTCTGGGGGTTGTCTGTTCCCCACCTGGGTCCCTGATGCTGGGGACTTGGTAGCGGAGGAGCCATGCTCTCCATCTGGATCCTCGGCACCCGGGAGCACAAGACATGCTGCCAGAGGGACTGCACTCCCTGCCTGGATTCCCGGCTCAGGGGGGCTGCAGGATGCAACATCGGTGGGCTGAACACCCCCATCCCCTGCGGAGCCTGCTGACCGCTGTGCCCCTCTCTCGCCCCGCAGCCGCGCTGAGCACAGACCCCACGGTGCTGGGCAAGTACCGTGCCGGCTTCAGCGAGTGCATGAACGAGGTGACGCGGTTTCTCTCCACCTGCGAGGGCGTCAACACCGAGGTGCGCACCCGGCTCCTGGGCCACCTGGCCAGCTGTATGACCCAGATCAACGCCATGAACTACCCTGCGCCCCCCCCACCGCCACCGCTGCCACCAGCCGCAGCCTTTGGGCCACCCCTGGTGCCACCGGGCAGTGGTGCGGGGCCGCTCCCGGGCATGCCCTGCAAACCGGGCGCCGACGCAGCCAAGGCGTACGGTGGCCTACA